ACTTCGGGGCCCAGTGTCCTTGAGGACACGAACACTCGTTCCTCATCCACCCCCTTTGGGGCCAGGGTCCTGGCACTCGTTCCACTCTCTCTAATCGATGTGGGGATCTCATAATCCACCCCCTTCGGGGTCCAGCTTCCTCGCTGGCACACCGCCCGGTGTCCACTCCCTTCGGGGCTCAGCGTCCTTGCTACCACACAACTCAGTGTCTAGTTCTGATACCATTTGTAATAGCCCAAGCCCACCGCTAGCCGATACTGTCCTCTTTGTGCTTTCCCTTTTGGGTTTCCCGCTTAAGGTTTTTAAAACACGTCTACTAGTAAGAGATTTTCACATCTTTATAAAGAATGCTTCATTCTCCTCTCCAACCGATGTAGAATCTCACATCAACTAAATCAAATTAATATATGTGTATCTAAATTTGACAACTTTACATCTCAATTGTTGGCAGGATTTGCTTATCGCAGCGGTTGATAGTTCAACCACTATAATCAATTGGGCGTTACCCGAGCTTATTAAGCATCCACATATAATGAAGAAGATGCAAGAAGAATTGGAAAAAGTGGTGGGTTTGAATAGAATGGTTGAAGAATCAGACTTGAACAACTTAAAATACTTAGAGATGGTCATCAAAGAGACTTTTAGGATGCATCCACCCATTCCATTAATTCCACGTGAATCCATACAAGATTGCATGGTCAATGGTTACCATATTCCTAACAAATCTCGCATAGTAATAAACGCGTGGGCAATAGGGCGAGATGCGAGGACTTGGTTAGATCCCAACAAATTTATTCCCGAAAGATTTGTTGATGAGCACGTAGATATGAAAGGAAAAGATTTTAAACTGATTCCATTTGGATATGGTCGTAGAGGTTGTCCTGGAATGCAATTAGCATTGACCACAGTTCGGCTTGTGGTAGCTCAACTTGTACATTGCTTTGATTGGGAACTACCGAATGGTATGATGCAAGCTGAATTGGATATGACAGAAGAATTCGGTTTAACTTGTCCTAGAGCTCAAAACCTTGTCCTTATTCCCAGGTATCGACTAAACAATGCGAACCTGAATTAACTCACGAGTAGAGTAGAGTGTGATGGCTTCTTTCTTGACAGTTTAGTTTTTATTTTCAACCATTCTAGAAGAAACATTACTTTTTTCTAAGTTTTTCTTGTATCAATGGTAAGTTTTAAAAAGTTTTATGTCGGATCGACAACGACTTCATACCACATTTTTCCAAGTTTTTCTTGTCTCGCTTTTGAATTTGTAAAATTTTTAGGTACGATCGACAACAACATTTTAATTTTGTGTTCTAGAAATTAATGTTTTTTTCTTTTTCTAATTTTTATACTATACTTTAAAAATTAAATTTAAAAAAAAAAAAAAAAACTGTTTCCATCCGATTAGAATATCTCAATGAACCTTCTCAAATCTTACTCGGGAGAATTCCGAGTAATTCCGGCTTAGGGTTGTAGGGTTGTAGGGTTTAATGAGAGAGATATGTGAATCAAGTAAAAAACATAGTTCAATCTTTTATACCGATGTATCGTACTCTCTCGACCAGGTCATCCCGCCTAAGATAAGGATCGGGATCTCTCAACGGGTCTAGGCGTAGATAGCCTCCATTCGCAAAGAGATCTAAGACCTTTTTTTGAACGGACCCACGTCCCATATGGATACAATGAAATTTGTCTCATCTCTTTGATTAAGTCTTTTAGTGGGATTTCTAGGAATAAAGTGGGTGATGACTTCCTAATGCTTAACGAATGTATCTAGGACTATCAAATATACCGATTTGCTTCAGTGAGAAATTTGGCCGAAAAGTGCTTGAAGCTGAATGAATTTCTTATGCCCTATTTAATTTTGTTGCAACTATTTTTAAGTGCTAACCTAATTAAAAGAAGAAGAAAAAAACGATCCACGAATAGAAAGAAAAAGAGAAAAAAAAAAAAGATCTCGAGATCGATAAACTGTTTTAAATTGTATGTACGAAAATAATATTCTAACAAACATATATTTTCAGTTGTGGCCACCAATCCGGACTAAATTGGACCTATCATATATGCAACTCATGCTCGAGAGACCTATCATTAAAACCATCATAGGGGTGGCCTCTAGTCCGGACTAAATTGGATGTGTAGTACTTCCCTACACACGACTCACATGTGTGAGTGTGGATCTCCAAGCGGTTCGCACCCCCCTTGACCCATCATAGTCGAGCTAGTTGTCCGTAGCGACATCCAAGAGTTAGCAGACCCCTGAGTGTCATGCAAGACATGATCATCTCATCATCATAGTGTACACATCCGCACTATCACAAAATGCATGAGCTCCCTATAGTTTCTCATCTTTAAAACATCTTTGTGACTCACCCTAAGTTCCGTTCACATATTACTACAAGTAATATATGTACATTGGTCTTCGTACATTCATCATCATTAACGTTAACTAGGGCAATGTCCTAGAAAAATCATAGTCGTAATGCAGCGTGGCATTTAAAACATGCATTTCATCTTTATATGGAAAACAATGTCATATTAAGGAACTTCATAATCTTACATCGTTATGTTGTCATGCATTATCATCATCATACAACGTCATTATATAACAACATTATGAACATCATTCATGTCATCATACGTCATACATCGCACATCATCATCATATAATAATCAGAGCATCATAAGTATAAAGCATAAATGACATGTGCAAGGGCCACTAGGCACGTGTCGTCATACATCATACAAGTCGTCTAACCTATCATATAGTAAGACCACGTGGCCACAACAACACACATTTTACAAGCATGCCTAGTGGCCCCTTGTCCGGGGCATGTTACCAATGGTCTCCAAACCCCTCGATTTCTTTCACATTAGTTAGGTATTTACTATTTTTGTATGTCCACTCCGAAACAACTGGACAAATCCCAGGCTGATCGATTGGTAAAGATCAAAGATCAGTTACTCAACCTGAGTGAAGTTCCTGATGGAATGAGGCTTTTAAAATTTCACATGAACGAGATTGCGACTAAAACATACAAGATTGACTAAATGTCAGGCCGCCTTGAGGCAATGCCCATCCATGAATTAATCTAAGGGTCGAGACCCTAAAAGACAAGGCTACAACTGCAAGAACATGAACATACAAGATGATTGGTGTACCGTGGACACTTGGGAGAGCTTAAAACAGGAACTTCGCTCACAGTTCTTCTTAGAGAATGTTAAGATAATAGCAAGAATGAGAGTTGAAGCTACCGGGAATATATGAGACTATGTTAGCAGTTTTCTAGACTTATGTTGGATACTTGTGACATGTCCAAGAAAGACAAGGTCTTCAATTTTGTCAGGGGTTGAAGCTGTGGGCGAAGATGAAATACTCCAAGTAAAGTTAAGGTAACCCAAGAAAGGTTTAAGGAAACCAAGGAAACTATTGAGAGACTCAAGCAAGGACAATAGGCGTTGGAAAACTACCAAAATACCCTTAAAGTTCAAAATATTTACATATTTGCCATTGATAAGAAAAGCTAGAGCAACCCGCACAAAATCAATTGAATCTCAAAATTCAACTGTTGTATTGAGCTAAAATTTGAGTGTGTTCAAGAAGACTTGAGATACTTAAATCTAACTACTAGAATTCAAATCTAAGGTCGGTAGCCCCCTCGTGGCAGAAGAAGCGAAGGTTGTGTTGGAAACAATCATCTAGCTGACAATGCAAAGTGTAGTGGAGATCCAAGTACATGGACATTCAAGATGGTTGATGTACTTGTGGACACCACGAAACCAAGACGAACAATTAGAGTTGCAGAAACCTCCACTCGTATCGTTGTTAGCCTTCGCCCTCTTTGCGCATTTGAGAACGCCACTTTTCGCCTTAGGACATTTTAATGATATTTAGTACTAGATTATTGTTTACCATATATATTATATTTAATATTTTATTATAAGACAAATATCTAGATATCTGTCTTCTTACCTTATCTTTCCCTTGGTTGTTATTTCAAATCTTTCCCTTTATTGTTATTTCAATTTATTATTATTTTCATATTCTTGTGATTTATTTAATTGTATTTCACACACTAGTGGTGGATTAAGCAAACGTTCTCAGGCACCAATCACGAGGAATTGAATTTGTAAAAAGCAAACATTCTCAGGCGCCACTCACGAGGAATTGAATTTGTAAAGTCCTTCATAAATTGCTATACATGAAAGTGAAAGTAAAGATGTCTAGTTTACTACACATAATTTAATAATAAATATAAAGTTTCTGATTCTTAATTCCAATCCCAAGTTTTAATTATTTTTTAAATTTTGAGTTTATTTTGTAATATTTTTAATAATTTTGCTCAAATAAATGTTTTAATAAAATTATATAAATTTTTAATTACAAATATTTATTACAATTTATGTTTCAAACTATAAAATATATGATATAGAGAGGAATAAATTATATTAAATCATATATATATATATATATAATCTTATACAATTATACTAATTTCTAAATAAAATAATAAAAATAATTAGGTATAAAATAATGGCTAAATTAATTTTTAAAAAAACTTCGGTGTTCAAAACTTACAATAATATTACACTTTTAAAATTTTCAAAAATTTCATTAATACTCTTAAACTTTAATTATTTTAAAAATATTCAAAAATTACTCTTCCATTAATCAAATGGTTTACAAAATAAGGTTTTACATGCTTAGGAAAGTTTTTTTTTTTCTCGAACATCAATTTTAAAACCGTGAAACAAACATGAACTTTAGATACACATACCTGTTCCCACCTTTTCTCCCATGAGCCATAGGAAAATGACATCTGGAATATGATCAAGGGCGGGCTCCCGTGCCCTTTTTCTAAGGATCTCGGAGCGTCACGAGCTGTCACCTCTCGTAAACTTATGTACATTCTTAGGCTGGAACAAGCAAATCCAATTTCTTACCTGCTGGACCAAGCAAATCGACCATTGCAGGCAATTTCTTGCCCTTCAACATTCTATACACAATTCCCACAACATTTCAAAGAGAAAAGTACTTCCTAGTTCTTACAAATTCATCATATAGATGATATCTCTGTAACAATACTCACAATCCAGTAAAACTACATGGAAAGTTGATACACATCAAATACAAACAGCTCAAATCATCAATACAATAGAACTTTTACACACAGATTTAAACAAAAAAGAATAGAAAAAGAAAACCCCCACCTTTTCTTCTCCCTCAAACTTAAAAACTCTCAAGGGGGAATGGGGATCTGGGAAACTTGCACAATTACAAGAAATCAATCCACAACTCATTTTTTTCAAAAGATTGCACAGTCAAAAAAGAATAAGGTAACCAAACTCGAAAACCAAACCCGAAAAGCAAAAAGAAAAATACTAAAATGAAGAGGAAAACTCCACATAATTCTACTCCTTATACCTCTTATGATTACCTGTGCTCAATCAGAATCACTTGAGCTGGAGCTGGAGCTGGAGCTAGAACCTGATTCTGATTTTCCAGATTTTGCCTTTTTGTCTTTAGTTCTGGAAGCAGAAACCTTTGGATTTAAAGATTTTTCATCGACTATGTCTGCTGGTTTGTCGACATTAGTCGTGTTTGATGGGACAGTCTCAATGTTGGAATCCACTCCATATGGTTCTAATCCTCCCTCTGATGGATCATTTGACACGGAGCTCGTTGGAAGTTCGTTCAAGTTTTTCTCTGAGGCTTGCAGCATCAAGGCAACATGAATATCTCCTAGTGATTTTGCTTCAACAACTTCCAAATCTGAACTTGTTTCGGCTTTGGATTCTTCTTTAATCTGGTTTTCGACCGCACTGGGAAGGATGACATCCTCCAAATCTACTCCTTCATGGAGTTGCCTAAAAGCTAAGTTGATATCATCTAGTGATCTTGCTTCAAGAATTGGTATATCTGATTTAGTCTCAGTAGGATTGGAAGTAGAACCTGATTCAACAATGCTATGTTCGGAGAGTTGCATCAAAGCAACATGGATATCTCCCACAGATCTTGCTTCAACGACTTCCAAATCCGAACTTGCTTCAGGATTGAGTTCATTAATCTGGCTTTCAATCGCACTGGGAAGAATGACATCCTCCACGTCTACTCCTTCGTGAAGTTGCCTAAAAGCTATGTTGATATCATCAAGTGATTTTGCTTCAAGCATTGGTATATCTGATTTTGATTCTAAGTTGTTGGAGCTAGAACTTGATTCATCTATGTTATTCTTTGATACTTGCGTCAAAGCAACATGAATATCTTCGAGAGATCTCGCTTCCACATCCTCCAAATCCGAACTTGCTTCAGGATTGAGTTCATTAATCTGGCTTTCGATCGCACTGGGAAGAATGACATCCTCAACATCGACTCCTTCGTGAAGTTGCCTAAAAGCTAAGTTGATATCATCAAGTGATCTTGCTTCAAGCATTGGTATATCTGATTTAGCTTCTAAGTTGTTGGAGCTAGAACTTGATTCATCTATGTTATTCTTTGATACTTGCGTCAAAGCAACATGAATATCTTCGAGAGATCTCGCTTCCACATCATCCAAATCCGAACTTGCTTCAGGACTGAGTTCATTAATCTGGCTTTCAATCGCACTGGGAAGAATGACATCCTCAACATCGACTCCTTCGTGAAGTTGCCTAAAAGCTAAGTTGATATCATCAAGTGATCTTGCTTCAAGTATTGGTATATCTGATTTAGCTTCTAAGTTGTTGGAGCTAGAACTTGATTCATCTATGTCATTCTTTGATACTTGCGTCAAAGCAACATGAATATCTTCAAGAGATCTCGCTTCCACATCCTCCAAATCCGAACTTGCTTCAGGATTGAGTTCATTAATCTGGCTTTCCATCGCACTGGGAAGAATGACATCCTCAACATTGACTCCTTCGTGAAGTTGCCTAAAAGCTAAGTTGATATCATCAAGTGATCTTGCTTCAAGCATTGGTATATCTGATTTAGCTTCTAAGTTGTTGGAACTAGAACTTGATTCACCGAACTTTGATACTTGCGTCAAAGTAACATGAATATCGCCGGGAGAACTTGCTTCCACAACCTCCAAATCCGAGCTTGATTCAGGATTGAGTTCATTAATCTGGCTTTCAATCGCACTGGGAAGGATGACATCCTCAAGATCGACTCCTTCGTGAAGTTGTCTAAAAGCTAAGTTGATATCATCAAGAGATTTTGCTTCAAGCATTGGTATATCTGATTTAGCTTCTAAGTTGTTGGAGCTAGAACTTGATTCACCTATGTTATCCTTTGATACTTGTGTCAAAGCAACATGAATATCTCCAAGAGATCTCGCTTCCACAACCTCCAAATCCGAACTTGCTTCAGGATTGAGTTCATTAATCTGGCTTTCGATCGCACTGGGAAGAATGATATCCTCAACATCGACTCCTTCGTGAAGTTGCCTAAAAGCTAAGTTGATATCATCAAGAGATTTTGCTTCAAGCATTGGTATATCTGATTTAGCTTCTAAGTTGTTGGAGCTAGAACTTGATTCACCTATGTTATCCTTGGATACTTGTGTCAAAGCAACATGAATATCTCCGAGAGACCTCGCTTCCACAACCTCCAAATCCGAACTTGCTTCAGGATTGAGTTCATTAATCTGGCTTTCCATCGCACTGGGAAGAATGACATCCTCAACATCGACTCCTTCGTGAAGTTGCCTAAAAGCTAAGTTGATATCATCAAGTGATCTTGCTTCAAGAATTGGTATATCTGATTTAGCTTCTGTCGGATTGGAATTAGAACCCAATTCAAATCTCTCTGCTTGAGCTTCCTCTGGGAGTACCTTTTCTTCGAGGACTGGTTCCCCAACTTCTTTGACGCTAAAATCCCCAACTTCGTCCAATTCTAATAACAATCCTTCATCAATATCTGTTATTTCATATACCTCTTCCCTAGTCATCTTTTCTGAAAAACGAGGTCCAAATGTTTCTGCTAGATAGTCCAAATGCCTTGAAAACTCCTCACGATCCTCAAATACGACTTCATCAACAATATCATCTTTTGGATCTCTTCCAGTATTGAGTGATCTGAAGTCATGATCTGATGAAGATGAGGATGAATCAGAGTCTACAGAAGATAAAGCTGTTGAAATGTCTTCATGAACTTCTGGTGTTATATTTTCAGAGATTACTTCAGCAGCAGAATCTGTCAATAAAACACCTGGTTCCTGCGAAGTATGAGCTTGATATCGTCATTTTACTTCTCTAATTAAATAATATGACTATAGTCTTCTCTCACAAAGCCACAATCAATTCATTAAATAACATGGTAAGAGAAATTATCATACTCAGATCAGTTAAAAGAGAAACTTGCAGTGGTATGCTAGATCTTACGGAAACGAGACCCCATGCAGATAGGGCCATCCACAGGCCACGAAAAATGCAATAATTATATATCACGTTTAATCAATATCTAATCCATGATGAATACAACATTATGATTTATGAGTAACTCTATGGATTGAATCTTTTCAAGATCATTGATGCAATAGCAAGAATTGGATCTTTTCAAGATCCTTGATGTCATAGTAAGAAGAGAACCATCAACTCAAAAAAAGTATTCAAAAAGATCAGTAATCTAGCAACACTTACCTCAGTATCCTCACTGTTACTAAGATCATCAACCATTGGCTTGTCCGACCAGGACTGCTCTAATTCAGTGACAGGCGAAATATCTTCAAGAGCCACATTAGGAGTACTAGAATCTGAAGAATCAATTTTAATATCCAGATCCTGCAGGGCTTCACTCTCTGTGTGTGGTTCGACACTTGAGGACTCAACGATATCTTGTTCAGACCTAACAAATTCTTTCACATTCATTGACCGCTCCTCAACTTGGTCCAATTCAGAAGGAAATGTCGAAGGCAAAGAAATCAAACTGACTTGCTCATCCACCACTGGAGTGGTTTTTTGTTCCGGTGATCCAGTAATAGTTGCATTGGTAGTAGTCAAATTGTCATAAGAAGTAGCCACAGAATCTGTCGTCTCAAACAGGTCAATTACATCTTGAGCTGGGATTTCTGAACCACGATGTGATATAGAAGTAGTAGGTTGTTCAGTATGACAAATTACATCAGTTTGCAAAATTACTTCTTCCACAGAACTGCTATCGGATGAACTTGATCTACAGATTTTTGTTTGTTCAACTTCAGGACTTTCTTCGTTATTTAATGTTTCATGCATTTCCACATGTTTTGGATTTGAAGGTGACCCAATATCTGATGAAACATGGATTTCGGCTGAAGAGAGTTGGTTCTCTGGTTCAGTGAAAGTCAGACAACGAGAAGAGATCTGATCACTTGAAGGTGAAGAATCTAGATTTTCATCTTCAACTTTGTGAATTCCATCAATACTACCCTCCTCATGACTTGTCAACTGATCTTTTTCTTCCATAACATCACCGACTATTACTCTCTCTACTGATGCAATGTCTGAGAAGGACAGACCAGAATCTATTGTAACATGCTCAACTAAAAGTTCAGGGGCCACGGCTAAGTTTTGAGCATCATAATTGGTGTCATGCTTGGGAGACTCAACCTTTGCAACCTCATGAACAATAAATTCTGAAACTTCCCTCGATTCTTGTTCATTTTTATCAACTTTATGTAACTCTGAGGAGTCATCATGCATATCTTTCAAGCTGGAAGTAACATCCTGTTCTATTTCAGAATGTAATTCGGATTCCTTACCTGAAAAGGAGGCGATTGTGTCAGTAAAAAGGGAAGAGTGCATATTGGTTAATTCTGTATACGCATTATAATAAACAAGTGAAAACGAGAGCTCACCTTTTGCTTTAGGGCTAGAGTCATAAACGGGCTCCTTATGCTGATTGTCAGCCAACACTTCACTGGCATTCTTGAAGTTGGCGTCTTCTTCAACGGCAGTCAACATTGTTATGCTAGTAGTATCAATACCAGATTCCTCTGCTTGCAGGCTACTCAGTTTCCCCTCATCTGTTTTGAACTCAAATGGTGTTTCATTCACTTCTTCTGATAATGAACACAAGCTGGAATTGCTGCTGAAATTTGTTTCAACTAATACATTTTTGGAGTGAATTTCACTGGCATTAATCTCCACTGGGGTATCTGCAGCTCCGATTTCAGTTGGTCTAGATTGGCTTTCTAAGTGACTCTCAGTAGATCCCAAAGTTATCTCAATCACTTCATGATGCACATCTCTGTTTTCTTGTACGCAATCTTCAGAGCCAATAAACTCCCATGGTTCATTTTCATGCTCGATACCACTGGCTGAGGAGTCAAAGTAGGAACCTGTTGCTGTTTCCAGAAAAGATTGTGATTCATCAGGCTTCTTGTCATCCTGATCTGGAATGGAAGTCATTGATTCAGTATCAGAAACACAACTCAGTTTTGATTCATCGACTTCACTAAATTGTCTCTCTAATGGAGAGTAGCTTGTTCCTTCGGCAGCTATTTTTTCAGGCATGAAATATGGTTTCCATCTAATATTTTGTTGCTCTAGCTTGGAAATAGCAAAGTTCGAGGGGCCCACACTGAAACTTTCATGTCTCCGGAATATATCTTTCTGTTGAGGTGGAAAAAATTCTTGTTCAAAATCATCACTTTTGAGATCCGGTTTTTCTTCATTTGGGTCATATGGAAGATCAAATGGATTACGTCTAGGCAACAAAATAGATGGAGCAGACCCGGGAATTGGTGGCAATCCCATATTGTCGTATGAATCATAAGAGGGATCAAATGGGTATTGTCGGGTTGTAGATATGGGCGGTACATTACTAGGAAGATCAAAACCATCCAAGTCTATCAAATTCTTCCCAGCCAACATTCTCATGTTGTTCCTTGCTCTTCTCCTTGCAATGAGACTTTCCAAACGCTGATTCCTTTCTAGCTCTAAGCTTCCCAAATCCATGAGATTCTTTTGATCATCCTCGGTCCACTTGATAGCTGACTTGCTCTCATCCTCTTTCTCTTCTTGCATCCCCTCATCATCCTCATCATCCTCATCGTCCTCATCCTCAGCAACACCGCGTTCTTCTCCCTGGACTTTAGCCTCATCATCTGACATCACACATTCACCATTACTTTTACAAGACTGTTCTGAAGAAGCATCTGACTCTTCATTTGACATATGAGCAGGTTGTGGAGCTTCTGAGTTCAAGAGAGGGTGCAACTCATCCAGCAAAGGCATGATATCAGCCATTGAGGCATCAGGTGAGGAGCTTTCTGCTCTATCAGAATCAGAACCCAAAGAATCATAATCGTTTTCATCATGATCATCTTTATCACTGAGAGATGAGTTCAGATTATCTCCTTTATGGACAAGTTCTATGGAGATGTTAGGATCTTCTACTTCAAAAACCTCATTTCTCATGCTTTGGGCAGCCAAAAGTTGGTTCTCTATAACATTTTCACCATCTGTTGCCGAACTTTTGACATCCAAATCCCTTTCATAAATTTCTCCCCTCTCCTCCAACTCTGAACTATGGAATTCTCTCTCTGTTATTGTCTTCTCACCTTCACCCTTTTCAAACTCCTCAACTCCACCCCTCTCAAACACCTCAACACTGCCCTTCTCAAACTCAATTTCATGATTTTGCTCATCAATCACAGGAGCAAAGCCAACAAAACCAGCATGTTCGTCAAGCTTGCTTGTCTTCCTCTCTTCTTCAGAATACCTTTCCACATAAGAATTTCCTACTTCATTTCCTTCAAAGCTCTCAACAGTAAAACCATCATCCTCCTTAGCAACAACAGTAGCATTGTCCAAAATCCCATATCTCAAGGAAGCTACATCACGTGAAACCTTCTCCTCTGTTTCAAATTCAGGTATATTAGGTTGCCCAAAACTCAGAAGGGTTCCAAGCAGAACAGCCGTGCAAATCAAAACAGGGGATGCGGACACCAAAAGGGAAAACAAAAAAGGACTTGATCTATACAGGAGAATCAACAAACACAGTAGACCAGAGAGAAATGGATAATTACGAACTGATCTGTAGCAAGTTCTCATAGATACGACTGCAAATTTATTAAGACGAAAAACCATTTTCACGGCCAATCTCATATATCTCTCCTTGTTTCCGCACGCTTCCATCCTTCTTTGTGAATAATCTTCATAGTTAAACACACCTGGGATTTTCCCACCAAATGAAGTTTCTGGACCCATTAACTTTTTTACTTCATTTATCTGAAAATAGAGAACTCCATAATTAAACCCCATGAATTAGTATCAGAAAAATAAATACATTACGTGACATTTCCTGTTGAAATCACTTATACGCTAATGGCACATCGCACATAGTACCAAGTTGGGAAGATAAGAGAGGATCCAAATTTCTTGTTCTATTAAAATATTTTAACAAATTAAACTTGCAACCTCACCTTGGCTTGCTGTTCTTCAGGGGGCAAACCCCTTTCTGTCGCATCACGTCTTGAATTTCTAGCGGACATCTTTCAGAATTCAAGAAAGTTGAACAGAATTAATTACTTTAGTAGATACAGATGAAGCGTTTGGATGCTCTCCAGTTGACCTTGAACAAAAAACGTTATAATTGTTAGATGCTTCACCCTATGGCCTAATAATCTTTAGACGCTCGGACTAAATGAGGCACAAGATCATACACTACTCATCTTCAAAAGAAATGGACTAGCTCAATCAAAGCAATGCATTACAGGTCAACTATTTCTCGTCACCTAATTAGTTTATCTTCTTTTTGCATTGCCTACATTTGCTACAGTTGTTACGACTGATTGAAAGAGAAATCAACGAAGCATAGAAAGCTACAACCAAATTGCAAGGCTGAAGCAGTGGCCAAACAACAATACTTCTTTATGGTTGGAGTTTATCTTCATAATCCAACTTCCCTAGTGTTGTAAATTTCAGGCGTTCTCAGAAATAAAAAACAGAGAAATCACCACGAGATGCAATCCAAGATTCAGAGGATGTAAATTAAGAACAGAACAAAGATAACACTCGGAAAACAACGAATGCACACCACGCCTTACAAATCATGTCGAAACAATCCTCCTTCGATCGACCGCAAGAAAATCAAATCAAAGGAAGCGATTGAACGAACTCCAAGTCCAGCAAACTTTATCCCGAGCTTGATCGGATCAAAAAATTGTTGTTTCAGTGAGAGAGAGAGAGACAGAGACAGAGACAGAGACAGACAGAAACGATATCTACCAGATTAGGCGAAAAGCACAAAATCAACAAGCTAAACAAACACCAATACTTCAAACAGTAGAAAAACAAATACACAAAAGCAAGCTAAAAACCAGTATAACAATCAAGGAAACCCCCGAATCTGCAATCAAGTGAAAAAGTAAGATCAAACCAATACCTGATCGAGGAATCGAAGAAAGAAACCGAAATTGAACACTGCCAGACCAGATTCCGGAGATGGGAAATTTGCAAATGAAGGGAAAAAAAACACAGATGAGAGAGAGAAATGGAGGTGAGATAAAGAAGAAAGGAGATGAGAGAGAAAGTGAATGGTGTGCTGTATGTGAAATGTGCTGTGGCTATGGCCCCATCGGCTTTGGCCGCCTTTTCTTCCGATGGTAATTGTCAGCAAGGCCAACTCCTCCATTAGATAGCATGAAGAGAGTGACAGAAATTATAGTCTTTTTATATTTCGTACGTTTTTTCCTTTTCTTTTTACTTATTTTAATTTTGCATTTTAATATCAGCTTTATTTTCTCTTCTAACTTCTGGATCAAGCGTCAGCCGAGTATATCGAAATCAAAAAATCAGACTAACCCAACTCGAACTATAAGGGTTCCAATAACATTTTGGATTGGGTTGGATTAATTTTCTAGAACCATATCGATTTAGTTTGGGTTTCAGATTCATTGAAAAAAAAATTGGGTTGACCTGAACCGAACCAACCCTTACTAAAAAGAACATATATATTATTGGACAACACAAAACCTAAACCTAATTCACGTTGTCACCTCTCATCGTAGCACTTAGCGTTCCTCAATACTCACTCAGCAAACTCGATCTTAGCCCTCATAGAGATGCATATGCCAGCCACCATCACCCCTCATCGCAATGCTTAGACCTCACTGAGAGAAAGTAGGTTGTGAGCTCTACATGCATAACAGACAAGGGGCAACCTTTAGGTGGCGCCCATTCGACCACGTGATGCTCAAGATTAAGAAGTGTCATGATGTGATAGAGGGAGGACGGTGAACCATCCAACGCACCAAGTGTGTACGTTCAAGTGAAGTCAAGGCATACACAAGGTTCGAGAGTATGAGACAATACAAGTGTCAAAGATGAGCACGAAGAGGGTCGGGCAGGACCCCGAGCCATAACCTTAGAAGTCAGGGTTTCGATATGAGTTTCGGTATGTGACTTTGGAGTCAAGTTCGACTATATGAAAGACGAAAGCTCACTAAATTTAATGTCAATTAGATACTCGATGGACGTTGCACGAGGTCGTATGATTGCTCGCCAAAATGACTTATACTCAAGAAAAATTGAAAATGCCTCAAAATGTACTATAGGGAGAGCCATGGTGTCAGCTCTCCACTACCTCTAGGCTCTATGACCTACACGATCTCCCATGCAATACATATGTGTATCACAACATGGACGAGTGTCTCGGGCATCTTCCTTTGAAAATGATCTTTCAATGACAGTATTGGACAACACGTATGTGCCAGTATTGCGCCCCAGCCCATGTGTCAGAAGTTAGATTATGCACCTACTATCCAGAACAAATTGCCGTAAATGGTTTAACATAGACATGAGAGAGTCCAATGCCAATAAAAACCCAGATGGATGGATGTTCAGAATGTCTCAATAAGATGATCAACACTTGGGTCAGTTTACAATAAGTTCAAGCAAGCCAAAATGACCAAGCAATCCCGACACATGGAATGACATCACGATGCAAGGATCATGTTGTCAGGAATCGAGATGACAATGAAATGCAACGTTGCTTACGAGAGACTTTGATCTAGAGTAGAGTCGAGTAGGATAGAATTACCCTTAGTCTCATAATTTCATAAAAAGTATATAGTATAAATATATATTTATATATATATTATAAAAATTGTCACAGCCTAGAAAAGAAAAAGGAATGAGATTAAAATTGAATATATTTTTTATTATTGAAAAAAGTAAGAAAAGAATAATATTAATTATTTAAATGTATTTTTGAGAATGTTAGGGACATGATTGCATCATCGGCTTTAGTGCCACGCAAATACAACGTTATATTATCCTATTTGCTTGCTGTCTATATTCTAATTTCTTTAATTTAATCCATTAATTTTATAAACATACTTTAATCCACCAGTGGTGGAAGAATATAATATTCATTTTTATATTAAACAATATAATAATAAATTTGAATCCCTAAAATCTTATATTTAATTTTTTTTTAATAAATTTATGAGTTTTTAATTGTATGTCTAATACGTATTTGATACAATATTATATATATATATATTAATTAGGTCAATGAGAATTAAAAAAATATATATGAAAATAAGATAAAGGAGAAAAAACAAAAAGGGGTCAAAGGGTTGGGTTGGCAATAAAAGATGGGGTGGGCGGTGCCAAGATGTAGACGTGGGAGCACCAACGCATCCCTTTCCTCTTCGTCGGTTCCCAATTTTCAACCAACCCAATCTTTTTTTAGCCTAATAATTATACCAAACAATAAAGGATGAAATATTTTAGGAATAATTTGTCGAGTATCTAATAGATACTCTTTTAATGTAACGATTCAGGTCCACCGCAAATAAATATTATTCTCTTTAAACTTTCCTTTTTGAACTTTTCCTCAAGGCTTTAAAACAACTCAGGTCCACCACTAGATGATATTATCCTCTCTGGACTTTCCCTTTCCCTTTCGAGCTTTCCCTCAAGACTCTGGACTTTCCCTTTCCATTTCCCTTTCGAAGATGATATTGTCCTCTCTGGACTTTCCCTTTCCCTTTCGAGCTTTCCCTCGAGACTTTAAAACAACTCAGGTCCACCACTAGATGATATTGTCCTCTTTCCCTTTCGAGCTTTCCCTCAAGACTCTGGACTTTCCCTTTCCCTTTCGAGCTTTCCCTCAAGACTTTAAAACAACTCAGGTCCACCACTAGATGATATTGTCCTCTCTGGACTCTCTTTCGAGCTTCCCCTCAAGGCTTTAAAACGACCCAGACCCACCCTCTAGCAGATATTGTACTCTTTGGACTTTCCCTTTCGGGCTTCTCTTCCCGGCTTTAAAATGCGTCACAGCCTTATAAATGGTGTTTTGTTCTTGTTCTCCTCCCCAAGCAACGAGTCACACCCTTATAAAGGGTGTTTTGTTCTCCACCCCAACCAATGTGGGACATCACAATCCACCCCCTTCGGGGCCCAGCGTCCTCGCACCGCCTCGTGCCTATCTCCCTTCGGGGAATAGCGAGAAGGCTGGTACATCGTCTAGTGTCTGGCTCTGATACCATTTGTAACGACCCTGGTCCACCGCTAGCAGATATTGTCCTCTTTGGGCTTTCCTTTCGAGTTTTCCCTCAAGACTTTAAAACACGTCTACTAGGGAAAAGTTTCCACAAAGGATGTTTTGTTCTCCTCCCCAACCAATGTGGGACATTACATTTACTAACGATCCAGATCCATCACTAGCAAATATTGTCTTCTTTGGGCTTTCCATTTCGGGCTTCCCCTCAAGGCTTTAAAACGCGTCTTCTAGGGGAAGGTTTCCATATTGTAAGGTCCACGTTTTGGGCCCGTGGCCCAATAACAAAATAATAGTTATAAAAAAATAAGCCCTAAGATTCAGCATGTGAGACAAACCCTTAGCTAGCCACCGCCGGCCGCTCTTCCTTCTTTCTGTCGCCACTAGCCGCCCTTCCTTCTCTCTTTTTTTTTTTTTTCACTTTCTTCCTTAAGCCGCTGCCACCCAACGCTCACGGTCTCGCAACCGATTGTTTCCCACACCACTCCACACGCCTTCCAACACAGAAAATCCCTGCCCAGCACCCACATCGCTGCCGCGAGGGAACACTATCGTTGTTGCCAGAACCGACATCAAAAGGATTAAACGCAACAAAGTTTCAACGCCTACGTACGAAGAAGGCTCAGTTCGAGGGGAGTCGGACCGTCGTTGATTAGGAAAGGTCACGAAAGCAGCTCCTCAGGTAAGGGACACGCCTGTTGAAACTAAACGTTTTGTTTTTTTGAAAAATGGGTCGAATAGAATTGTCCTATGGCTAGGTGCTGTGTAATTTGATCGCTATATGTAATCTAATCGCTGTGTAATATGGTTAGGGTGTGTAGTTGGGTTAAGTGTCTATTGCCAGCATATTGTGCTTGTAGGTAGCAACGGTTAAGGGGCCTATTGCTAGCATATTGTGCTTGTAGGTAGCAACGGTTAAGGGGCTTGTGGTAATAGTTACACGCTGTGTTTCGGGTAACTAGCCACCAATAGTCATCTTTGGGTGATTCTAGAAAATGACTATCCAGGTAAGGGTTACACGCTGTGTGTTTCGAGTAACCAACCATTGATAGTCAATTGGAGAAAATAAGGAGATGATGTCTTTGTGGTAATGATTACACGCTGTGCGTTTTGGGTAACTAACTAGGAATAATCATCTTAAGGAGTCAAGGATGTTGTGGTGGCAATAATCACCTGCTACGTGTTTTGGTTGATCGCCTTATGACGATTTATATGTTGACCCCAATAGGGGAGTTCCTTACTGAGTATTTTTATACTTAGTTTTGGCTGATCCCCTTCTGACGATTTATATGTTGACCCCAATAGGGGAGTTTCTTACTGAGTATTTTTATACTCATGCTGTTTTAAAAACTGTAACGACACTTATGATATAAGTAGAGGTCAAGGCCGTTACGAAAAATAATGTGATTTATTTGAAAAAGAATGAAAACCATGCAAAACGATCATTTATTAGAAATCAAGTGCGGGGTACTCCTTTAAAAATTTAAAAAAACAATGCCGCCTAAAGATATTCAAAACAAAATACGAAATTTAAAATCAAAAGAAAATATGGTGTGATCGCCTAGTTCCCATAAACTTGGCGTCCACAACATAATTTAAATTAATAACAAAAGTGCGGAAACGTCTCTCCAACAAAATGAGACTACAAAAAAAAAACATAAAAATCCTTGAATCGCCCCGTGACTGACTTTGGCATCCTACTTGTCACCTCCGTACCACAGTTTCGCCTGAAAAATCATTTTAAAAACAGGATGAGTATAAAAAATACTCAGTAAGGAACTTCTCTATTGGGGTCAACATATAAATCGTTAAGGCGATCAACCAAAACATGCAACAGGTGATTATTTCCAACACAACATCAACGCCATCTTTACTCCTTGAAGTGGTTATTCCTAGTTAGTTACCTGAAACACACAGCGTGTAACCATTACCACAAAGATATCACCTCCTTATTTCCTCCAATTGATTATCAACGGCTGGTTACCCGAAACACACAGTGTGTAACCCTTACCTGGATAGTCGTTTTCTAGAATCACCCCAAAGGTGACTATTGGTTGCTAGTTACCCGAAACGTACAACATGATATGAACCAAGAGACATCAATCATACAATATAC